CCGTGGGAAAAGAACAGTATCGCTGAACCTAGTTGAAAAGGAATCTCTTTTCTCGTGAAATACCAACACTTTGCTGGAATCTTTGTAGATATGTACAGTGCCCACATTTCGGCTACAGTTTACTCTCAACCTGTGAGCACAATTGCAAGTGTCATTCATGGTCGTCGAATCTCCAGGATGCATTTCAGCAGCAAGACACGTCGGTATACTTACAAGTTGTTCTTCAAGTCCATTATAAAATATATCACCGCGCTGTCATTCCTTTGCTCGAAATCCGGCTTCACGCTCGCAATGTCTTGCAATACGCATCTCTCTTGGTGACTGTCTAAATATGGATTCATCGCATCGCTTAGGGTTCGATCCAAACTGAATCCAAACTAAACCGCAATGAAATATAGAGCACGTAATTATACGGGAGAAAATGAGTCTTCGAACTTAAAAAGAAAAAAATTTTGAACAATTTTTTTAAATAAATAATATGGGAGAATCGTTCACTGAAATTGATCAATTAAATTCAAGTGTTTCATCAATACTTTGTAATGCGTACAACGTACAGACAGTAATAAGCATTTGCGTAACGCAAGCTTTGTTTTCCGCTTGAGTCGCAAAATGATGAAAAAATAAAAATTCAACGGTAATGAGCGAGAATTTATAAAACAGATTGAAAAAGTGCCAATAAACGCTGAATTGCGTTAAACATTGCGTACATGGTAACATGTAACCAGACAGGTTACACCAAGTCCAAACGCGTTGAACAATTGGACTTCGCTGGACTTTGAACAAAACCCTTATGAAAAGACTTGTTCCGCCGGTGTATTGAAATGTGCGGCGACAGTTACGCTTCCGACACAACATCCGATATACATAACCCTATTCTATTCTGCCGAGATATCCCAGCTGATTAATCAATTGAAAAGCGGGTATCGTACGCGCGCACATTTTTATTGATAGTTACATGCGATGCATTGAGAGCAAGCATCTCGCAATGCTTTCGAACACGTAGTTTCCTGACATGTAGCAGACACACAGCGATGGGAATGACGAAGAAACGGAAACAGGTGTCTATGAATGGGCGACGCGTAACTTTACGCGAATATATTCACGATGATCATTACTTACCACGGCGTTCTCGTCGAACGGGTCAGCCTTGAAATTCGACAGGTTTACATCGAGGGTGCCTCCCTTGTAGAAGCCGAAGGTACTCAGCGCGATGTACCGTCTTACATCTTTCTGTAACATGCAAGAGCATAACGTTCGAAGTATAGCGCAAAAGAAAACTCTGTAACCGACAAGAAAGAACCGATCAGTCGGCAAGAAAGAAGTTTATACAACGAACGCAACTGCCTATAACCTATATCCTGCAATTTTTTTTATATCAATGGTCCTTGCGGCAATCTTCTACATTGTTTATCGTGCTTGCAAACGCCTGGACAATCACGGCCTTAAGTATAAATGTAAGTACGACGTTGCAATATGTCGTTCGTTTACATAATGCATTTATAATTTCTTTTTCTCAGTTTAATGTGATTATCGCGTTGTATGCACGTACAAACTCGGTAACGCAGTTGATGCCCGTAGCCGGTCAAACAGCGATTGACGTAACAAAGGAATTCTGATAAAATAATCGGTACATAGATATACACACGTTATTGCTGAAGATTCCTTCAACTAACCCGTATCTGGAGTTTGTGAATTCTGCCCGCTGCTAACACAAATATTGACACAGTCCAAAGACATCGTATCACTAATTGTGTCAATTGCATCTTCGCTTATTTTCACCAGGGAAGTGTCACATCACGGAAATACAAAATAATTGTATTTAAAACGTGCAATCTTCACTCATCGATACACGAGCAGAAACTGAGCTTGGACACGAGGAATGGGAATGTCATCGATGGTGGACGGAACGGACGAATTGAACTACGCGCAATTTTTAAAACTTCATTCCTACTCTTTAAAGAAAGAATAATATTCTCTTGTTACATACAATAAAAAATGTAATATATATATATATATATATATATATATATATATATAT